TTGGGAGATAAAAGTATGTGTCATTTATTCATTTATTCGACTCGAAAAGAACAAATATATTGTTACTATAAGTTCAATTATGACCACCTTATTCATATTTAGGTCCAACCCTTGAACTCTCGTCGTATTTTGCTGCTCACCGCCTTGCCAAATGGGATTTCTCTTGTAATTCTAGTGGTGCATTTAATGGTAATTTAATATTTTTATCTCGTTTTTGTGACCGAATAATTGATTGGAGACTCTATATTGACTTCATCTTAATGCATATTTTTCTCTATTAAAAAAAAAACAAATACTTCCTCACATTTTAATATACCCCAATTTCACCAATTTAATCTCAAATTAACTTCAGTTTGACCCAATTTTACCAAATATTTAATTTTGACTCCTAACTAATTTGACTCCAATTTTAACCATTGTTGTCGGTCTCTGGCGTTGGTTTTTTTTTTTTAATATTGAAAAAAAAAATTCGAGAATTTTTTTTGGCCCAAATAAAAACAGTAATATTATAGTGATTGACGGTAATTCACTATACTACTATTTAACAAAGTAATACTACTATATTGTTGTTTGTAATATTGGTATATTACTATCTACCATAGTAATAATATATTATTATTACAATAAAATCACTATATTACATAATAAATTTTATCGTGTAATACAATATAATTTTATTATATTGACCGGTCAACGAAGACAACCAGAGTAAAAATCCAAAAAAATAAATATATTGCCGACAGTAATATTATTGTCAACCACAACAATATTAGTGAGGTTGACAATAGTATGACTTTCAACCAGAGTAAGATTAACAATAGTATTATAATTAGGGGTGAAAGTGGAATGCATTGGATCGGACTAAGTTTCCTAAAATTTTCGGAAGTACAAAATCAATTCAAATACCAAAATTAGGAAAAATAAGTATCTTCTTTGTTTGAAGAGGATTTTAGGGTTTTCCTTGCAGTTAAATAACTACATCGTGTTAGATTTGCATTACGAGAAAAAAGTATGCTACAATAAAACTTGCATTTCGTAGAATTATTGATGATGCTCAATAGATCGTAACAAATTCCGCCTAAATAAATATTGTCCTCAAGAATTCGACTCAATAATCGTACAATCTATTATAAATGCACCATACGTCCATACCGTACATATATTTTCTTATGTTTCCACCTATGCTCGACGTCATTAAATTTATAGATTAGTTTCGTATTTTTTTGGGTAAAAAAACATCATTAAGCAGGGGTACATTTGTCATTTTAGATCAGTCAACGTGTAAAATAAAGTTTGGGGCAGTTTGCCTTCAAAAATATAATATGGGGGCGAATGTGCAGTTTGAGATACCACAGGGGTGCCAATCTACTCTTTGAAGATGATACTTCAAAATATGTTGATTTTTGAGATCCAAATTGGTAAAATTACCCATCGGCCAAGAAACTCTCTCTTGCGGAAGGCGCCATCTTCCAGCAATCAGGACTCTCTGCCCAAGCGCTAAACCTTTATAAAATTCCCTTTGAAATTTCTGAAACCCTAATCCCAAAATCCCCAATTTCTCTGCACTCGAAATCTCAATTAGGTCAATTAGGTCAGGTTGAAGGAAGCGAAAGGGGGGAAAACAGAATCAAGAAAATGGGCATAATAAGGAGCGGGTTCTCGTTCATGATGGGCACAGCTTTCGGTGTGTACGCAGCCCAGAATTACAACGTACCCAATATCAAGAAGCTCTTCAACACAGGGCTTCTCATCGCCAAGCACATCGAGGAGAATTACCGCAAGCCCAAGAAACGCGACGACGATGAATAGAGAGAGAGAGAGATAAAGATCGATGTTTGTTTAATGTTTGCCGCAATGCCCACTATGTGTTCGTAGAATTTCCTGGTAGCTTTTTTTTTTTTTTTTTTTTTTGTTGATTTTCCGTTTTACGAATAGGAGGTTTAAAATGTTTAGTGGTGTTGAGAAACTTTGTGTTCTTGAAATTTTGGTATTTTACTATTGTTTTGTTGACTGATGATGCTCAATCAATGGAAATTCGTTGGAGATTGATGTTTTTGGTTTTTCATCGAATATATGTTTCGGGTTCGATAAACTTCAGTGTGTTGCTACTTGTTTGTACACATTTTAACTTTATTGTATGGATCACAAGTTATTGCAAGCTATGATATTGATTGCGCATCTTTTTATCGTTGTGTTGTTCGTAACTTATCATGCTGTCATTTGTGCTTATTCGTACCAGTTTAATGCGTGATTGTTAAAGAAACAGTGCTTCTCCATAACGCACATAAACACAAATTGTGTAGTCGAAGCACGGTTTCGTTTGTTTTTTTCTTTTCCATGTCTTGCATTTTTTCAATGTTTGAATGGTGCTTAGATTCCTGGCAATCGGTTTAACATGATTTATCACTACGTATCTGTCGACACACATATTATGTTTCTACTGTGCCACATTATTACATTACTGGATGACATATAAATACCAGTTGATTGGATCAGTTGAAGAAGGCAAAACCTGAATATTTACACGGAGACACCCGACTTTCCAGGTTCGTGTGTTGGTAATTTCTTTATGTTCTGTTCGTCTGTTTTTGCACCATTGATTTTAGTATATCAAATATCGTATTAGAAGTTGGTGACTGTCGTTTGTTTACAGTTCTCGGGCTATTTTGCATATATCTGATGGACACTTGGCTATTTTGCTTCGGTATGTGGATTCTTCTCTTAATCTCTGTGGTAAAGTTATATTTTATCTTGTATTTTATGTCACTAATAACGCCACTTGCACACGATAAATTTTAGTAATAGGCACTACAATGTGGATTTACTATATGAAAATAATACAAAAAACTATTTAAAAACAAAGGATCCAAATTGATTTTGTATAGGCTGCAGATTAAATGTAGCCTTGTGACAGAACTAACATGATTAGTGAATTTTGACCTTTTTGCCTGGAAGTGTACATTTATTAGCAAGTAGAGACGGAAAAACGAAAAACGAAACAATTCAAAGAATATTATTCCTGAAGAGGGAATTATTTACTATTGCTCATATATCCAAGATTGTGAAATAATGCAATAAGTTTCACTTATGGTAAGAATGATTTCTAGTATAGTTTCTTTCGTTGCTTATTTCCATTCTTACCTCTATGCCATTACCTTCATGCTATCCTTTCTACTCGTACTCAATTTCTTTGTTACCTAGCCTAGTTTTCGTAAGAATGCGACGAAACAAATAAATAGAGAATATAATCCATATTTTGTTTAGGCAGATTTTCGTGTATAAGATGATCTTATAAAGACCATGAAAAACTGAAATAATAAGATTTACTTGTAAAAACACTCAACTGAATCAAAATAAAATCGTTTTTAGATACCTTCAATATTTTTCGGCTTCTTGGACTGGAAATTTTGGTACTTGTGGTTTAATTAACTAATGAGGCTCAATTGAATGAAATTGTGAAAGATTTCTTTTTAGAAGCTCTATATATATTAAAAGTGCTAAACAATATATTAATTCGACCCAAAAAAACGGGTCAATACGATTACGTAAAAGACCTAATCTTGTACTCATTTCAGTCAATGTTCAGATACAAATCAGACAAACTACTATTTACAGTACAAGACTCGCAAGAACCCCGATCTTTCTCTCTGCTGTTCAACGCACGCCATTCATTAATGCAGGCCGTTTTCTCCAGACTCGAACTCGGATGTGATTGACAGCTAAGAATTTCCAAAATCTTCTCGGTTTTCCCGAGCAAAAGAATAGCACCGTTCACACTCTCCTCTCTCTCTTCATTTCTGCTCTGATGGCATTTTATCGATATCGCGTGCTGTAAATTCGTAAGGCAAGCCCCGATGATGTCAGCAATCATCAAGGTAATTCTTTCCAACATTTCTTTATTATTATTATTATTATTGCGCTCGTTCGATCTGTTTTCGTTTCCCAGCAAAAGCGTCTGACATACTCTGTACATTGCATTTGCAGCAAGAACTTTGACCGGCCATTTCGAAGGACTGTCCGTCAAACAACCTAGTACGTCGTTCTTTCTCAACTCCTTAAATTTGTTCTTCGCTATGTCCGAAAGCTCCGATATTATATCTTTCGAGCTTTTCCCTTCGATGACATCTCACGAAGATTTACATCGAGCCATTTGTGATGAAGGTCGACTCCCACCCATACGATTTCCGCCGCTTTTCTGATATTCGACACGTCCTTTTTTATATCAAGATTATTTTCAACTACTCTTATATACTTTAACCCTTCGTACACACACTTTATCAGCTCTTTCGTCGAATCAAACTCCGTTTTTTCACTAATCGCAACTGCGATGCTTGTTAATGTGACCACGGGTAAAGCCCAGCTATTGGGTGGCTCTTCAATATCAAGAGACGGGACTTCATCACTGTCGAATTTATTCACCCCGTCGAATCCGTTCGAAGGGTTCACTTTCTCCAATAATTTTACGAGTTTTTTCGGTTGATTTTTCCGACCCATTTTGATCCAATGGCTCGTGGCATCCCTATCGGATTCCATCATCACATCGACTAGCTCCTCCTCTCCTTCGAGGTGCATTACGTAACGGCTCAAATCCAACTTCTTCGACTTTTCCGATTCTGTACTGTCGCAGTGCAGAATAAGATTCGAGCGCTTGAATATAAACAATTTGTGCACATTTAGTAATCGGCTCATAAAGAATATCGAAACCAGCCTCACCAACTTGCTCGAAACCACCATTGTCTTCTGACACACAATGCATAAATCCAACACCCTGTTCTTTGTCGTGTGCACGAATTTTCTACCGTAATGCCCACAAATCCTTAGTTCCAACGGACATTCTTTCAATTGATACAGCGTCTGAACCCAATAATTCTCGACCGACGAAAACTCGTTTTTTTGGCATTTCTTGTTTTTATTACTATTCGGGCACCGAAATTTAATAGCAACGAACCATCTACATGCGGGTGCAATTGTACCTACTCCTATCGCCATAGCCTGAGTTACGAGTATCAACATGGTTGACCTTTTGTAATCCGATTGACCTTCGCAGAATTTGAAGGACGAGGGCATAAGGTAACTCCGAAGCATAGCTTCGGCAAAAGTCAACGCACTAAGAAGACAAAACGCACCTGATGCAGTGCAAGTCGCCAAACGGCCCATCACGAATTGAGGGTTGCATGTATGTGCCATCATCCAATATCTCATCAAATCGTTTCTCAGTTTTCGAGTTATCGAAATATCGCGATTATTTTCGTTATCGCCACTACATTCTTTCGTTGCTATTTCGTACTTTTTAGCGTACTTTAAATCGAAGTAGTACTTTGTCACAGGAACGGACAAGGAGGAAGAAATCGAGAGGGCGAACAGAACAACCATGAGAAACATGATTACTATATGTTCAATCAAAAAGACGTAAATAACCCCGGTGCCCAATTGGATGCAAACGTTCGCTATGACTGTAATTACGAGAATACCCAATGCCACGATATTCATCATGAGTTCTTTGGTCTGCATGGATCCTAGAGAGGGCATGGAGTTACCTATTGCCGTGCAGATGAAGGCGGCGCTGCTCAGCTTCGCCAGCTGGTCGTGCTGACGTGGCATGGAGGTGTTGAGGTCGACCGAGAGTTTGACCGATACTCCGATTAGGGTTAGGGTTGTGGCGTTGAGTGCGAAGAATCTCGTCGGGAACCAGAATTTACGGTAACGGATTGCGTGAAGTGCGTCGATTGACATTGCTACTGCACAAGATGCCGATGCTAGTACGACGTAGATTCCGATCCATGGCATTGGCTCGCTGAATTTCGATTCGTCGAGTGTTCCGTTCACCGTGCACCCGATTAGGCCCATCTTTTTTTTGTTTTTTTTTTTTTTGATTATTGAAATTGATTGTGTAGCTTCTGCATAACTGAGTTAGAGCAGAGATGAAGTCTGTGTGGTGGGATTTAGAATAGATGCCAAATATGGTGGACAAATAATGATGAGATCAGGTTGACTTTTTAGTCCCACCATTACTACTAGTGTTGTGGTTGTTATTCAAGTTTTGAATATTATTTGTTGATTTAATATATTGATTGATTGATGACTTTTTATTTATTTATTTTTGGGTAAATTACGCCTACACCCCTGAGGTATGCTAAAATAAGTTTAAGGTCCCTGTACTATCGGTAATTACATTCATCCCCTTGAAACATTGTTAGAAACCCTAACGGAATAATGTATCGGATAAGTTATTCGTTAGGGTTCTAACGAACTATTAGTTTCAGACAGTGGTGGAGACAACATAGAGCTAGCGGGTGACATGGTTCTCCTAAAATTTCTTAAATCCTTATTATTTTATATAAGTACAGTCGATTAAAATATGTTGTATTTGGACTGTAAACCGGATCGTCGTAGACCTACTCAACGTCACGGACTACCTATTTTACCTTAAAACTAAGGCGCTACAGTTGACCATAGCAAAGCCAAGAGTAGAGACTAGAGATTAAGAGGTTTCTACAAGATCTTCTAGAATCTTTCCATTAATGTAAAGATCCTTAGATGGTTTTTCTTTGTATATTTAGTAGAAGATCGTAGGAGTTGATCATAGCTATTAAGATGATCACCACCATCCGTTGATGAAGTAGAGTTGTATAAATAGAAGTAGCTTCAAGAATCTAAAGCGGGGCGTTTATTTGTGGCTAGGTTGCACGGGCAACTGAGATAATGAAGATGAAAATACCTACAACCATAACACGACCCCTCCAACATGAAACAGTTTCAAACCTCTAACAACTCATATATCGGATTTTTTTTTTATAAATTGACGTTAATACCCCTATCATTATATTATTAATTTTCGTAAAATAGTTTCCAAATGAAGATAGAGAGAGAAAGGTATGAAGTAATTAGATTGTTTTTTAAATTGCAATCCGAATATTTGCGGTTTTTTTTTTTAATTGCAATCAGAATATTTGCGATTTTGTCTGAGAGAAATCGAAGAAAAGAATTCCATTTCAAAATTCAATCATTTGAATGAAAATTTAAAGCCCTTCTCTCTCAATCTAACTTATCATTCTAGCACAAACTCCACGTGGGTATGATATTATATTATTAATTTTTATTTAAAAATTTAAACGGTAATTACATAAGTACCCTTTTTAAATCGTTAAACCCTAATTACTCATCTTTCAATATTTTAGTTATTACGAATTGGGTTTTTATTTTGATTACATTTAAATTTCATCTTTCAATATTTTAGTTATTACCAATTGGGTTTTTGTTTTGATTACATTTAAATTCAACAAGGGATAGAGGATGTTAGAGATGCATACAAAGTTATTACGAATTGGGTTTTTGTTTTGATTAACTATAAATTCAACATGGACTAGAGGATGTTAGAGATGCATACAAAGTT